TAACCAGCACTCCCATGTCCATCCCAGGCGATCCAGCTTCTCCCAAGGAGCCAAATCCAGGCCATGGGAATGGGGTGATGTGTCCTCCCTCCTCAGGCTCCACGTAAACACCCCTGTGTGGCATTTTAACAAAGCCCTGGTGTCAGACTTTCCCTTCCCAGCCTGCTCCCTCCCTTTGGATCCCTCCAGCCACAGAGACTCCTCCGTGTGCTCCGACTTCCCTGGAGAAAGGGAAACAACTCCGGCACTGCTGGGATTGAAGGTCTGGCCTGGCTGGATAAATCTCCCCTGCAACAATGGGACCTTTGGCTCCTGCTCAGGGTTGAGTCCTCCAAGTGCTCCTTATCTCCCAGCCAAGCTCTGGGGTCAGGTGATGGAGCTCGTTAAGTTCTGCATTTGTTTAATTACACCACAGGCTTTAGCAGCATTCCCTGCCTGCCTCCCCCTTCCTTTTTCCACCTCTGCAGGAATATTTTTGTCCCCAGCTGTGCCACGGCCCCTGTGAGGACAATGGGATGGAAGGTGGTTCTGGGGGGGAGCGTCGCACTCCGATTTTGGGCTTTTTTTGCCCCAAAAATGGGTGTCTGGGGCCGTCACGTGTTCCAGCCCCTGCCCCGTGGCAGCACAGGGAGGCTGAAAAAATTACAAAAAACTAAAACAAAACAGGGAGGAGCAAGATAAAAGCAACGAGCAGAGAGAGGAGGGAAAAAAAAGGTCTGAGCCTCGCTGGCGGCGTGGGTGGGTGAACGGCCTGGCAGGGCTGGAAAGACCCAGCAAAGGCCACCCTGGAAACCCTCCCTGCTGCCTTCCCGGGATATTTTGGTGGCAGTTGAGCTGGTGGCAGCTCCAGCAGCCACGGGGATGTGTCTCTGGCCGCCCCAGAGTGACTCATAACTTCTGTGCCTCGCCGGGGAGGCAGCACAGGAATAGTTACACACCAGCGACGCGGAGGGAGTGGCTGCCGAAATATTTCAGGGCTGTGCTAAGCAACTAAAAATACACGTCAAACCCTCCTCCTCCTCCTCCTCCTCCTCCTTTTTCCTTTTTAAATCTGTTTTCTTTCTCTCTTTCTGGTGTGGTGTTTTTTGTTGGTTTTTTTGTTGGTTGTTTTTTTTTTTTTTTTAATTCTTGGTTTTGATTGTCGGAGGCCCCCGTGGGCCCCTCGGGGGTTCTTCAGGGACTGGCGCAGGTTCGGGGGCAGGCGTTGGCATCTGGTGACTTCTTGTTTTCCCGGCTTGGTTCCTCTCTCCCTGCCTGTGGCAGTGACTAAGAGGCAGCTTCCCCTGCGTGCCCGGTGCCCGCCGTGCAAATCCCGGGGTGCAAACCCTCTCCTGCCTCTTCCCTTTTCCATGGGGGGCCGGCTTGGTGCGTGGATCCATCCCTGGGAGCTCGTGGGTGTCTTGCTTTGGGTCCAGCCCGTGTCCTCAAAGCCGTGGGTGTCAATCACTTCGTGGTTTGGGTGTCTTGGCTCCTGGCAGAGCAGGATCAGGTGCCACCGTGGAGCTGGTGGCATGCAGGGAAGGGTCCCGTTGGTGCCGTGGAAACGGGGGGAGCAGGAGCTGCGTGAGGATGCTCCGGTGACCCTGCTCGAGGCTCGCGGTCCGGCGGCGGCGTGGGCTCATCCCAAATCCTCACCGCCCGCTCCGGGGTAAATATAGCCCGGCTGGCAGGTGGCAAAGACACGGCGTGACTCAGTGGGTGCTCCGACGCCTCCGGGAATAGCAGCTCCGGCCACCCGGCCGTGGTGAGGCTGGCACTGCCACCAGCTCCATGCACGGGGACGTCCCCACGGCAGGCGGAAGGGGCCACTGAATCATGCCCCTCATTAAACGCTCATTAAGCAAATGAAGCTGCCAGGCTCGCTGCGGGCACGGGGCTGCCACAGGCGAGACATCCCACGGGCCCTCTGGCTTGGGGACGAGGGATGTGTGGGATGAGCAGCAGTGGTGACAGGCTGGGAGAATGTGTGGGGACACAGCGGGACGAGCCTCGGGGTGCTGGGACCCTTGTGGGGAGGGGTGGTGGGGTTTTGCTGGTCGGGCCCAGCCAGAGCACGGCTCGTGGCTCACATCCCTGGCCAGGGGCCAGCCGCTCTTCCCGGGAGGCCCCGGGGCCGGCTCGTTCCTCCCTGGAACTGATTAAAGCACCTACAGCCAAAGCTGGTTCTTGTTGTCCCACTGCTGTGGTGGGGGAGCACTGTGGGTACCCCGGTGCAGCTCTGTGCCCACCGATGCCCACCGGGGCTGGGGGTCCCTGTGTGGGGCCAGGACGGGGGGAAGGGGAGCTGTTCCCCCCCCTGCCTGGTCCCCGTCCCTCGCTGGCTGGGTTGGGTCAGGATGGAAAGTCTGAACCTGCCGGTCCGGCCGCCGCCGCGCCCCTAATGACGGGTTTGGAGCGGAAACCCGGACGGCGGCTTCACCTGGGAGCTGCTCCCCGGCCCTGCCCCAGCCCCCCGGGGCACCGGCCCTGGCACCTGCCCCCCCCCATGGGGCAGTGGGGACAGCAGGGGGACACAGGGCTCGGTCTGCTCCGCTTTATCTGAGATTTAATCACTGCGTGTATTTGGGATTTTAATCAACTGTGTTTATTTGGGATTTAATGAACTGCAGCTGTTGGGGGAGGGTGGATCCCAGGCATTCCCACTCGTGCCTCAGTTTCCCCAGTGCCAGCGCTGTGTGTCCCGGCCCCAGGGGCTGCCCCAGCCCTGTCCTGGGTGTCACCTGTGTACCCTGCGGCCTCCCTGAAACCAGGGCTGAGCTGTGCCCTCTGCCATTCCCTGTGCCCTGTGCCGTGTCCTGTGTTGTGTCCTGTACCATTCCCTGTGCCCTGTGCCGTGTCCTGTGCCCTGCGCCATGTCCTGTGCCCTGCGCCATTCCCTGTGCCCTGTGCCATATCCTGTGTTGTGTCCTGTGCCATTCCCTGTGCCTTGTGCCATGTCCCGTGCCCTGTGCCATTCCCTGTGCCCTGTGCCATGTCCTGTGCCATGCCCTGTGTCCTGTGCCATTCCCTGTGCTCTGTGCCATGTCCCGTGCCCCACACCATGGTGTCCCCACACCCCGTGCCGTGCCCCACGCCATGGCCGCACTATCCCCACACCCAGTCCCACGCCGTGCCCGTGGGCAGCAAACAGGACGGGCGCACCATGACAGAGGCTCTTTGCACCAGGAGCACCGCGGGCAGGGTGTCAGCGCGGCCCCGCCACCGGGTCCCCTCGGGGGGCCCCCCGGCACTGACACCCCCTGATTTATCGCCCTCGTTAGCGCAGGCCTGGAACCATCTGGCAGCAATTAGGCCGCAGCTCGGCGTCACCCGCCCCGGCGGCCCCGCGGCCTCGCCGTGCGCCGCGTTCGCCGAGACCCTCGGCCTGCGGCGCGGGGGCCGCATCCTGCCCACACGAGGGGGGGTTATCGGCGGCCATCGGCGCCGGCTCCCCCCGCGCCGGTGACGTCAAGCGCTGACGCTGATCCACCCCCTCAGCCGCCCGCGGGCTTGGCCGGCCGTGACGTCTGAGGCCTCCACCGCCGCCGCCGCCGCTTAACTCCTTCCCCGGTGACGGTTGAGCGGGGCCTCAAGGGGCTCACGGTGGAGCCAAGGGGTTGGGCCTGGCTTGAGTGACCCCCTCGGTGGTGGTGTGACCCCCCCTGGTAAACTGGAGTTGGCTGCCTGCCGTGCGGTGGCAAACCGACCCGCCGGGATGCACCGGTGTCACCGGGATGCGCCGGTGACAAACATCGGGGCGGTGACACAGGACGGGCTGTGATGAGGGAAGTGTGGGGACACGCGGGGACAGTGGTTCTGTCCCACCGGGGCACGGCCTGGGCAGGCCCTGCTGTGCCTGGTGCCGGTGGCCTGTCCCAGTTTGACCCACGTGGGTGGTGGCCTGGCCGTCCCCAGAGGGTGCCATGAGGCCCCACGGCCCAGTGTGTCTGTTTATTTCTTTGTTGTGCCCTTTTACAGCCGGGGCCTGACCCGGTGCCAGTACCCGGTGCTGGTTCTGGTGCCAGTGACTGTGCCCAGTATCGCTCCTGGTGCCGGTGACTGCCCAGTGCCAGTGCTCAGTGGCTGGTTCCCGTGCCCTGTGGACGGTGCTCAGCTCCCGGTGCCGGTTCCCATTCCCATGCCCGGTCCGGTTTCCAGAGGGAGTCCCGGTTTCCAGTGGCCGGTGGCCGATTCCCATGCCCCAGTCCCGGTTCCCACTGGCTGGCAGCCTGTTCCCGTGCCCGGTTCTCATTCTCATGCCTGGTGACCGGTGCCCTGTGGCTGGATCCTGTTCCTTGTGCCCGGTCCTGTGCCCCGTGCCTGGGTCCTGGTGCCGGTTCCCGGTCCCTGTGCACGGTTCCCATTCCCTGGTCCTCGCGGCTGGTTCCCATTCTCCGGTGCCGGTTGGCACTCCCGGTTCCCGTTCCCGGTGCCAGTTCCCACCCCTCCCTTTGTGCTCATCAGTCCAGGCAGTTTGCAGTCCCGGTTCCCGGTGCCCATTCCCGCTGCCCGTTCTCGCCCATCCCTTTGTGCCCATCAGCCCCGGCGGTTTGCAGTCCCGGTTCCCGGTACCCATTCCCGGTACCCGTTCCCGCCCCTCCCTTTGCGCCCAGCAGTCCCGGTGCCGGTTGGCAGTCCCGGTGCCGGTTGGCGTTCCCGGTGCCCGTTCCCGCCCCTCCCTTTGTGCCCGTCAGTCCCGGCGGGGGCGTGGGGGGGTGTGCACGTGACCGCCCCTCCCCCGCGCTGACGTCATCCCAGGGCCCCGCGCGCTGTTGTCCCGTTTACCCGCCGGTTGCCCCGGCGACGGCGCGGCCGGGGGTGGGCGTGGCCCAGCGAGTGGGCGTGGCGCCACCTCCCCGGGGCGGCGGCCCCTCCCCTTATGCAAACGAGGGCGGGCGAGCACGTCATCTGCAGCCAATGGAGGCCCGGCGCGGTGAGGTCACCGCGGCGGCGCCGCCTATTTAAAGCGGCGCGGGGCGCGCGGCGGCGGCAGACGTGTGTGCGCGCGCGCAGGAGCGGGGCCGCGGCCGGTGCGCACCGGGCGCCTCCCCCGCCCCCTCCCCAACCCCTTTCCCCGCGCTCGCCCCGGTCCTCCCCCCCCCCTCCCGGCCCCGTTTCCCCCGCAGCCGGGCGGGGGAGGAGGATGGAAACACCCTTCTACCATGATGATGTGTTGAGCGGCCTCGGCAGCGGCTTCGCCCCGTCCTCCGGCAGCAGCGGGCTCCTCCTGCCCTTCCCTGGCGGCAGCATGATGAAGAAGGACGCGCTCGGCATGGCCTTACCGGAGCAGTTGGCGGCGGCGCTGAAAGCCCCCGGCGCGGCCAGCGGCGAAGCGGCGGGGCTGCTGGGCTCGGCCGAGCTGGGGCTGCTCAAACTGGCGTCGCCGGAGCTGGAGCGGCTCATCATCCAGTCCAACGGGCTGGTCACCACCACCCCGACGAGCGGGCAGTTCCTCTACCCGAAAGCGGCCGCCTCCGAGGAGCAGGAGTTCGCCGAGGGCTTCGTGAAGGCGCTGGAGGACTTGCACAAGCAGAACCAGCTGGGCGGCGGCGCGGCGGGGAGCGGCGGCGGCGGAGGAGGGAGCGGCGGCGGGAGCGGCGGCGCGGGCGAGCTGCCCGCCGCCGGGATGGCCCCGGAGCCGCCGGTCTACGCCAACCTCAGCACCTACCCGGCCGTCAGCTACGCCGCCGACCCGGGGCCGTTCGCGGCGCCGCCGCCGCGGCTCCCGCCGCCGCCCCCGCCGCCGCCGCCGCTGAAGGACGAGCCGCAGATCGTGCCGGAGGTGCCGAGTTTCGGGGAGAGCCCGCCGCTGTCCCCCATCGACATGGACACGCAGGAGCGCATCAAGGCGGAGCGGAAGCGGCTGAGGAACCGCATCGCCGCCTCCAAGTGCCGCAAGAGGAAGCTGGAGCGGATCTCCCGGCTGGAGGAGAAGGTGAAGAGCCTCAAGAGCCAGAACACGGAGCTCGCCTCCACCGCCAGCCTGCTCCGCGAGCAGGTCGCCCAGCTCAAGCAGAAGGTGCTCAGCCACGTCAACAGCGGCTGCCAGCTCCTGCCCCAGCACCAGCATCAGGTGCCGGCGTACTGACCGGGGGGGCCCGAGCCCGGGAACGGACTTGGAGGGGTCCCGGGCACGGACCGAGGGGAACTTGGGGAGCGCCCGCCCTGCCCCGGGCACGGACCGAGGGGAACTTGGGGAGCCGCCCGTGCGCGCCGGGCACAGACTGAGGGGAGCGGGGGGAGAGCCCATCCCGCCCCGGGAACGGACCGAGGGGTTCCGGGCACGGAGCGGGGGGAGCGCCCGCCATGCCCCGGGCGCGGACTGAGGGATGCCGGGCATGGACGGAGGGGTCCCGAGGGGAGGAAGAGGAGCGATAATCAGCCCCCTCAGCTCCCTGAGGGGTCCGAGCGGAGGTCCGGGACCGGCTCCGGGCGGTGGGCACCGAGCACCCCCCGCGCACGGGCTGCGGGGAGGGAGAAGCCGGGGGTTCCCCTCACGGACTGAGGGGGGACCTGGGCCTTCCCCCCGCGCCCCACACATTCCAGTCAGGCCCCAGTAAAGCCCCGCGACACGGAGAATTTGGCTTCTCGCTGTTTGCTGCGCCGGCGGGGGACGGGAAGGGAAAGGAAGGGAAGGGGCGGCGCGGGCAGGAAGCGGCGCGGCCGGGGGCCATCTTGGGGCGGGGGGGGGAGCGGCGACGGAGGGGTTTTGGGAGGTTTTGGGGGGTTTTTCGGGGTGAGAGGAGTCGGGGGAAGGGGAAGAGCGGTGCTGGAGAAGGGGCTCTGGGAAGGGGGGGGATTAGAGGGTCTATGGGGTTGTGGGGTGGGGGCGTTTTAGGGTTGCTGGGAAGCGCGGGGGATGGTGGGGGGGGAGTTCTGTCGGGCGATAGTGGAGGGTTTGGATGTTGAAGGGGGGTGTTGTGGGGTTACTGGGGCTCGCTTGAGGGGGTTGGGATTACTGGGAGTGCCGGGGCGGGAAAATCTCGTCTGGTAGTAGTGTATCTGGATTTGGATGTTGGGGGGCGCTCCCTGGAGGGGTGTACTGAGGCTCCTCTGAGAGGTTTTGGGGTTACTGGGTCTCTCTCGGGGGGATGTGCTTTTACTGGGGATCCCCGTGGGTGAGGGGAACCTGCTGCCGGTCCTGGCTGTGGCTCTGCCCTGTCAGACCCCTGGTTCCTCTGCGTTGGGGGGTTCACTGACACCGACACCCCCCTGTCCCGGCCCCTCGGGGTCACCCCGTGGCACCCAGCGAGGCTGGGCCTCCGCTGCTCCTCCCCAGACTTCGGGAACTGGCCTTGACTTCCCGGCACTGCCATCGCTCCTCCTCTGCCTCCCCCACCTGTGGGGCCCTATCCCGGCTCCATCCAGGGAGCAGCACCCGAGAAACCAACCCTCTGCTCCTGGAGTGTTTGGGGACGGTACCGGAGGCAGCTTTGGCCTGTTCCAGCACTGGGATCACCCCGCTCTTGGGGAGCCTGGCACGGGGGGGGCCCTGCTGTGGGTGATGGGAGGAGTGTGAGCTCCTTTGGGACCCTGCCGTGGGTGGCTCCCTGGGGACCCCGTGCTCGGTGCCAGCCGGCTGCGGTTTGGCGGAGGAAGCGCCTTCCCCGCCGCGCGGAAGCGGCCCCGGCGTGGTTGAGCTGCGCCCCGGATGCGCTGCTCCAGCACCAAGACGCTGCCACCTGTCTCCCTGTGGCAGGGCCAGCAACAGCCCCGTGGCTCTGGTGTCCCTGTGTCACCACAGCCCTGCGTGCCCAAGTTGCTGTGTCCCAACATCTCCAAGTCCCTGCATCTTGATGTTCCCAGATGCCTGTGTTCCCAAGACCCCACGGCCCTCGTCCTCAAGTCCCTGCATCCTGACATCCCCAGATCCCATTTTCCCGAAGTCCTTGCATTCTGATGTCCCTTTGTCCCTTGATCCCTTTGTCCCCAAAGCCCCACATGCTGCTCTCTCTGTGTGTCTCCAGATCCCTCTGTCTCTCAGACCCCACATCCCAATGACCCACATTCCCAGATCCCTTTGTCCCCAAATCCCCACATACTGCTGTCCATGTGTCCCCAGAGCCCTTTGTCCCCCAAGTCCCCACATCTCGACATCCCCACCTTCCCAGATCCACTTGTTTCCCCCCCCCCCCAAGACCTCGGGATGCTGGCAGGGCTGGCTCCCGGTGCCTGGGGTGGGCGGGTGGGGGTCTCACGGCCCCGGGGTGGGAGGTGCGCGGGGGAAAACTGATGCCCGGGGCCGGGGGCTCCTCCCGGTGCCCGCAGGGTCCCGGTGCTGCGGCGCCGCCCGGTACCGACAGAGGGCGCCGCGGGCGGGGTCGCCCCCGCCTCCCCCGGGGCGGATGAAGGCGGCGGGACCGGCATCGGGACCGGCATCGGGACCGGCATCGGGACCGGCATCGGGACCGGGAGCGGGACCGGGAGCGGGACCGGGAGCGGGCGGGATGCTCCCGGGAGCGCTCTGCCTGCTCTGCTGCGCCGCTGCCCTGCTCGCTGCTGCAGGTACCGGCACTGGGGGGGGGTCCGGGGGCGTCCCGGGGGCACTCGGGATCTGCAGCACTGGGGGGTGGGTCTGTGGCCTCCCCCCGCCCAGTCCCGGGTACCGGGAGGGGGGGTCAAGGTGCTCGAGGGCACTAGGAAAGTTCAGGGAGGTGACCATGTGCTCCCCTGAGCTCTGCACTGGCGGCTCAGTGGGGAACTGGGGGGGTTCCTGTGGTCCCCCTCCAGGGCCTCATGGCACAGGGAGGGGCTGCACCTGCTTCCCGGAGGTGCCAGGCTGGAGGGGAGCACCCGGACACTGCCCAGGACCCTGCACTGCTGTGGGCCCCCCATTTCCAGCCCGGGCCCCCAGCACCACCCCCCTGCACCCCAAGGTGCTTCAGCTCACCCTTCCCGGCATAGGGTGCTTGGCCCTGGGTTCAACCATCCTGGTGTGAGGCAGCAGCTGGGTGGGAACAGCCCGTCCTGGTGGGCGCAGCAGCCGTGGGGACCCCCAGCCCGCGGCCACGCTGTGCCCCTGGGTGTTGGCGCTGGGTGCTGGCTCTGCCACGAGGCATTTTGCTCCAGTGTCCCCCTGGGGCCAGGCTGGACCTGCTCCTCCTCTTGTGCAAACAGGACTTGGGCAGATAAGGGCACTGCCCGGAAAACACCACCACGTCCCACGTGGCCCCAGTGGAGTCCCCATCACGCCCGGCCCTGAGGGTGTCTGGTGGGTGCCACGAGGGCTGGGCTGGCACATGTCCCTGTGCCGTGGCACTTACCTGCTGCTGCCACGCTGCTCTGCTTGTGCAACAACCGGTTGGGAGGCTCTTTCTGACCCTGCATTTCTGGGAGCCCATATTGGCTAAATCCCAGTTTTCTGTGTGTGATGAAAAACACCTGGGAAACGATCCCTGTGGCACCGGGAGCCCAAGCAGGTGCTGCTGCCCTTCCTGGGGCCCTGCCTGCCCCTGCCAGGGCCCTGCTGTGTCCTTGCTGACCAGCTCTCTCCTCCAAGGTCTAGAGCCAGGACATGGCACCAATGTCTCCTCTGCAGTGGCTCTAAGCAGCTCAGAGACAGCCGTGTCGCCGAGTCCATCCAGGACACCGGGATCAGCAGCACCTCCTGTATCTCCATCCAACACCACCATGGCACTGACTCCATCCAGGACACTGGGATCAACACCACTTCCAGTATCTCCATCCAACACCACCACACCAACTCCATCCAGGACACTGGAATCAACACCACTTCCAGCATCTCCATCTAACATCACCATGAAACCATCTTCATCCGGGACAATGGGATCAACACCACTTCCAGCATCTCCATCCAACACCACCACACCAAGTCCATCCAAGACATTGGGATCAGCAGCACCTCCAGCATCTCCATCCAACACCACCACACTGACTCCATCCAGGACACTGGGATCAACAGCACCTCCAGCATCTCCATCCAACACTACCACACTGACTCCATCCAGGACACTGGGATCAACAGCACCTCCAGCATCTCCATCCAACACTACCACGGCACTGATTCCATCCAACACATCGGGATCAGCAGCACCTCCAGTATCTCCATCCAACACCACCATGGAACCATCTTCACCCAGGACACTGGCACCAGCAGCACCTCCATCCAACATGTCCACGGCACCGACTCCATCCCACCCAAGTGTGCCCAGATCCACGGGGCATCCCTCCAACTCGACAGCAGTGCCAGCCCCATCCTCACCCAGGCCCTCTGGGCCCGCTCCTGCTCCCAACTCCACCACATCCACTGTGAGCCCTGGGCCCAACAGCACCTTGGCCACCAGCTCCAGAACAACACTGGCCACCGGCATCGTGGCTGGCAGCTCAGGTGAGAGCCAGGCTGGGGGGCACTGGGCACGCAGGTGACCTGGGTATGGGCACGGCAGCAGCCCTGGGGTCCCCTAAGACCCCCCACTTGGGACTGTGCTCAGAGGGGGGCTCAGGGGTGCAGGTGAGCCCAAAGCCCCCCTGACTGCTCCAGCCTTCTTGGGGGGTGTTGAAGGCTCCCCTTTTCTCCTCCACCTCTGTGTCACAGGACCTCAGCTGGGGGGGGGTGGGAGGGCCCCAGGCTGGTCCCCCATGGGTGGAGGTGACACAGGAACTGGATGCCAGGTTTCTGATGTATGGGATGGTGGAGGGGGAGAACTGGAGCCAGTCTTGAGCCCCCTCTCACCCCGAGCCCCTCCGCGGTGCACAAGGCTTGGCAGTGCTGGGGAGGGTAACGGGGTGCCCGTCTCGCCCCCACAGAGCAGCAGCTGAGCTCTGGCGTGGTCGTCATCATCTGCCTCTTCGTCTGTGTGCTGGTGGGGGGCACAGCGGTGCTGCTGGTGCGGCTGTGCCGGCGCAGGACCCCCCGCGGGACCCCCCCCTTCCACCACCTGGACGAGGTGCCCATGGTGAGTGGGGGGGCCAGGGCTGGTGAGGGGGGGACTTGGAGGGGGCCAGGGTGTGGGTGCTCACTGCACTGTCTCTCTCTTCCCTAGAGCAAGGTGATGGAGGAGTCCCCTGTCACCCACCCCACACCCAGGTGACCCCCCCCCACACCGCGGCCCCCCCGGGGCTCCCCGCGCTGCTGAATAAAGAAGCTGCTGCTCAGCTCTGGTTTCCCGTCTGCCATGTGCCCTGCCCGGGGAAAACCCCCGCTCCCGGGGGAGGGCCCAACCGCTTTCGGGGGTCCCCCGCTCCGGGCTTGAGGCCCCGGGGTGTTCCCAGGCCGGCGGGATGGGTGCGGGGCGGTGGTGCCCGGGGTGGGGGGGCCGCGCAGCCCCCCCGACGAGGTGGGATGGGAGGGAGCGAGCGGCCAGGCACGCACGTCGCCTTCCTTCTGCTCCGCTGCACTCGGCCGAGGCCGCGGCTGGCGGCGACGACCGGGCACCGGTAAGGGGCTGCGGGCCAGGGCGGGGGGCTGGCGGCAGCGGGGACCCCCGTGCCGGGGCTCGGCATCCCCTGGGAATTGGGATGAGGCTGCTCCCGGTGCCAGCCGGGGCGTGGAGGGGCTCAGTCCTGGCGTCTCTGCGGGTGCACCGCTGTGCCCCAGTTCCTCACGGGGGTGGGTGCCCGTGGTGGATCATTAAGGTGGCATCGGTGGATTCACAGCTTGGTGGGTGCTACGGGCTGGGGGACACCCCCGTGGCCTCAGGCCCGATGTCCCTGTCCTCATCCAGCCGGTGGGAGCACCGGGAGTGGGAAGGAGGGGCCCCGAAACCCGAGGTGGGGGCCAAGATCAGGCGCCCGTAAATCACGGAAGCGGGGGGACGAACCCACGTGTCCCGGTCCCGGGGTGTCCCCGGGGTATCCCCAGCCCCGGGGGGGGTGGTCCCCACCCCCGAGCCCTCACCGGCCGCAGCTCCCGGAGCTCCCCCCGCAGGGACGGCGATGAGAAGGAGCCGGACGGCGCTGCCCTTCCTCGGCGCGGAGGTGAGACCGGCACCGGGGGGCACCTCGGGGGGCGAGGGGGTGTCGCGGGAGGGAGCGAGGGGTGTCCCCGGTACGGGCGTCCCAGCGCCGGCCCCGCGGGCAGCAATAACCGGGCTGGCGGCACTGAGCGGGAGTTAATTATCCCCTTAATGGGCGGTTAATTATTATTCACCTCTGCGTAATTGCGCGCCGGCTCCGGGGGCTTTTCCGGCGGGGTCCCAGGGGAAACGGGGGAGGGGGGGGTTCCCTCCGGTGGCGGCGGGAGGAAGAGGAGGAAGGGGGTGTCCCGGTGGCTCCGTGCGCTGCGGGACGAACCGCACCCGGTGCACCGGCTGTGCCCTTTCCCCGTGCCCCCCCCTCGCCCAGGTATCACCCCGGTACCCCCGGGGTGCAGCGCCGCACCGTGCCCGCCAGGGGGCGCCAGCGCGCTACCGGCGCCCGGTACCGGGAGGGGGGGGGACGCGACGGGGCTGCCCCGGGACGGGACCCTCGGACACGGACGGTGCCCCCGCAGAGCTCCGCGGGGCCGCTCCCCGCGCCCCTCACCGCCGCCCCGTGTCCCCGCAGCGCTGCCGCGACGCCGCCGAGGCCGCCCCGTCGGGCCCGGGAGCCGCGCTGGGCGCCGTCCGCCGCCGTTTCTCCGGGACCCCGCTGCTGCCGCCGCTGGGCTGCCGGTTGGCGGAGGCGGCCCGCGGTCCCGAGCCCGAGGGAGCCCGGGTGGTCTTCACCATCGAGGAGAGCGGCCCGAGCAGCGGCGATGAGTCCGAGCCCCCCCGGTAAGGGTGGGACGGGGAGCGGGGAGGTGATGCCGGCCCCCGCTGGCACCGGGAAGGGGTTACCGGGCAAGGCGCTGCTGGTGGGGACGCTCCCGGGTTCAGCACCGGCGGGCGGACAGCGGCACCGGGGCACCGGCACCGGCAGAGCACCCGGTGGGCTGGGGACAAACCCCTCTGTCACCGGCCCCGGGATGTCCGTCCCGATCGCCATCTGCTTCTGTCACCCCATCCCCAACACCCCTGTCCCCACCACACTGTGCCCATCCCCTCCGTCCCCGTCACCCCTGTCACCCCTGTTCCCACCACCCATTCCTGTCCCCAACCCCTCCCCTCATTCTCCTCACCCCCTGCTTGTCTCCCTCCCCTGGCCCAGCCGGTGCCACCGCAGGGTTGGCCTGGCTCTGCCCAAAATGACCTCAGCCCCTCCCGCAGTGGTTGCAGGGCTATTTTTGGGCCATTCCCCCTATCCCGTGCCTCTCCCAGCCCAGCTTGCAGGGTCAGCATGGAGCTGGCACAGCTGAGGGTCATGGCTCCGGTGTCACTTGTCATCCACCCCTGCAGACACGTGGGGACAGCGACAGTCCGACAGGGACTGGCTGTCCTGGGGTCAGGGACTTGCTGTCCTGTGGCCAGTCCTGTCCCGGCTGTCCAGGGGCTGCTGGCTGCCAGCCAGCCCGGGGGGGCTCTTCCCCCTCGCCCCTGTGCCCTGATGTCCCTCTGTCCCAGCACCCCCTCTGCTCTGACGTCCCCACAGTCGTGCCTGCAGTCCCTTGGAAGCGAGGGTGACCCCCCCCGCCCGGTGGGTTTTGGGGTCCCCACTGCTCCTGCCGTGGCAGGAGAGGCCCCGTTTGTTGTCCCCCCTGGCTCCCTGCCAGCTGCTGGATATTTTTGTGGCCGCTGGGAACAGCAGGTATCCACATCCTGCTGCATCAGGCTGGGCAGGTGCCAGCTCCCACGGCCAGGCCGGTGGGTCACCCACGGTGCCACTGTCACCGGCTGGACCTCATCCTGCTGCTCCCTGTTCCCCCCAGGAACGGCCCCAGGAGGGAGCTTGGCACTGCACCAGGGAGGGGCTGGGCCACAATTTGGGGTGGGTTTGGCTCTCACTGGTCCCTCGGTGGTACCGTGGCACAACCACACCACGTGTCTGGGATGCTCCAGGCTCAGCTGTGTCCCTTGATGGCACCGTGGCATGTCCACACTGCAAGTCCAGGATGCTCCAGGCTCAGCCACGTCCCTTGGTGGCACCATGGCACAACCCGCACCACAGCACAATCACACCGTGTGTTTGGGATACTCCAGGCTCGTCCCTGTCCCTTGGTGGCACCGTGGCACATCCACACCGAGTGTTTGGGATGCTCCAGGCTTATCCATGCCCCTCGGTGGCACCGTGGCACGTCCACTCCGTACGTCTGGGTCACTGAGGGGTCCGTGTGGCATTTTTTCCGTGTGCCCAGGCAGAGCACCCCTGCCCTTTCGGGAGCAGCTGCCGCCTCGGGGAGACAGCAGGGTGGCCGGTGGCACCGGGCCAGCGAGGGGCCACGTGCCCGGGCCGCCAGGAAAACCGGGGGGGGACCCGCTCCCTGCGCCGGCTGCCGGAGCCAGACAGTTGTTTAATTTCCCAGGCGCAGGGCGGGAGGGGGATGGAAAGTTTCCCGGGGCCGCCGGGGCCGGGACGGCCGCACGCTTCCTGCTCCGCGCCGGGGGCGACGGGGCCGCGCCGGGGCCGCGCCGGGGGTCCCTGAGCCGGGCCATGCTGCCCACCCCGCACCCCTCGCCGGGGGCTTCTCCGGCAGCCTCCCCCCGCAATTCCCCCCGCAATTCCCCCGTCCTCTTCAGGAAGCTCCTGATGAACCAGAGCATCCGCCTGCAGCGGCGCTTCACCGTGGCGCATCCCCTCTGGTAAGGGGGGGACGCTGGCGGGTCCCCGGGGGGGTGGTGGCACCAGGCTGTGCTGCCAGGATAGGGTCAGGGGACACCCCCCCCAGCGCTGTGTGCCCACGGGGACGGGGGGGACGAAGAGGGGACAGCGGGTGTCCCCCACATGGCCAGGGGCTGAGCCGGGCAGGGGGGAGCCGCTGGACGAGCGCGGCTAAGCACGGACACGCTCATTGCAGCGATGGCCAGGCAGGGACCCGCGGTGGGGTGGCCCGGTGGGCAGGGAGGGGGGCTTTTCCCTCCAAATCAAGGCACCCACTCACCCACCGCGGCACCTCCCTGCCCTCCCCGGCTCGGAGCTCTGTAGGGTTGGTTTTGGGGTGCCCCCCCTGGGTGCTGGTGGGTGCCGGCCCCACCTGCGTGAGCGCTGTAGGGCTCAGCACATCCCTCCGCAACAACAACTATTTATAGCGGCCCCGGCCCCCCCCAGCCCGGCACGGGCACGGCTCGGTCATTAACGCCGAAACGAGGGGGGTTAATTCGGCACCAACCCCTCGGCGGGGGCTCGTGTCCCCCGGGGCTGTCCCCTGCGGTGGCAGCGGGGTCAGAGGTGGTGGCACGGGGCCGGGAACAGACGCGGGCATCACCCGCGGGGCCGTCGGAGGGACAATGCGGCTTTGTGTCCCCGGTACCATCGGGGATGGGAAGGCGAGGCAGGAAAACAAGGGGCTGCGGGGATGGCATGACGCGGTGCCGGCTGGCACTGCCACTGCCGGGGACGGCCACGCCACAGGGACCGGGGCTGCCGGAGCGGGACGATGCTGCCGGGCAGCCGGTGCCCGTCCCGGAGGCACTCCTGCATCTGGTAGGTGCTGGGCTCCCGCTGGGGACAGGGTGGCCCCAGTGGCATCCGCGCTTTCGCAGTTCCCCCGGTGCTCCCCGTCCCCGCGGCGGTGACGGACAGGCGCTGGATGGCCCTCGCTGTGTCCCTGCTCCGCGCAGCCTTTCCCATGACCCCGGGGCCAGCGGAGCAGGAGGGGGGGCGAGGCGGCCGCAGCCAGCTTGGGGACACTGCAGGGTCACCACCCCTGTCCCTAAGTCCCCTGTCCCCCCCATGGATGCACACGGCTGCCAGGTGACTCTGGTTGAGGTGCCCCCCGGGCTGCCACCAGTGTGTCCCCAAGGGCCAGGGCTTGGCTTCTGTGGCGTTTTCTGTCCTTCGATGTCCCCTGGCTCTGTGCCATGGCTGGGACACGGTCCCCTCCATGGGACACAGCACCCCCGAGCCAGGGCTGATGGAGGCTTTGGGGGTTTGGAGGACTTGGGATCACAGTGCTGAGGACAGGGTGGGGATGGCACAGGCAGGAGCTGGCCCTTCCCGGGGTCTCTGGAGCTGGGAGCTTCAGGGTAGGGGGGCCTGTCCCACCTGGGTGACACGGGACAACCTGGCTTTGCTGGCAGGGAGCTGAGAGAGGGTCCATGTGCACTGAGTTGTGCCCATTCTCAGCACTGGGTGAAGGAGGTGGCAGGGCCAGGCTGGGAGGTGACCGGTGTCACCACAGGGGCCACCAAACCGGCTGAGTGGGACGATGGCAGCGAGAGCCCAGCAAACCCAGTGGCATCCTGCAGGCCGTGCCCCCACACCTTGCCCCGTGCCAGCCTTGACTCCTCTCCCCTCACAGCTTTGACCTGGAGAATGGCCTCCAAGGCCGGGGCACGCTGGACCCCCAGGCCAGCCCGGGGCTGGTCCTGCAGGGCACCTTCTCCCACGGGCAGCGCCGCGAGTCCTTCCTGTACCGCTCCGACAGTGACTATGACCTGTCCCCCAAAGCCATGTCCCGCAACTCCTCCATTGCCAGCGACCTGTGAGTGTCCCCCCAGTTCCCTGCATCCCCCGGGACCCCGCTGCCCTCCCCCAGGCTCACGCTCCCTTTGCTCCCGCAGGCACGGAGAAGACATGATCGTCACGCCGTTCGCCCAGGTAGGTGCCATCCCTGTGCCCTGCCCGGGAGGGGACACGGCCTGTGCCCAGCGCCCGGGGGTGTGTCCCGGGGGGCGTCGGCCTGGCCCCAGCCCCCTCTCGCCCCCCAGGTCCTGGCCAGCCTCCGCACCGTCCGCAGCAACCTCACCCACCTCCAGGACCGTGCCGGCATCAAGTGAGTGGGCCGTGGGGTGGGGAGGGCGAGGGTCTCACCTGGGTGGGAGACCCCGACCCATGGCAAGGGCGAGGGCACCGCTGTGGGGATCCTGGTTGCTCAGCCCCCCGTGTTTCACAGGCGAGGATCCAGCAGCAGCCTGCCCTCCGGGAGCAAGGCCAGCCTGTCCGGTGAGTGCCAGGGGGACCACGGTGGGGATGTTTTGGGGCCGTCCCTGTGCCCTCAGGGTGGGTCCCGCTGTGCCCTCGGGGGGATACAGCCCCCTCCAGGCAGGGCAGAGCCGCGGCTTTGCCCTTTGGGATCCATGTCTGGTTTTCGGCAGCTCCTCCCGCCTGGCCGCCCTTCGCGGCGGTGGAAAAGCTCCCGTTGACGTCAAACCTTCCATTAATAAAACCCGGCGGTGAGCGGGGCCCCGCGGGAGCCCGGCTGCCCCCGGGGCTGGCTGTCACCCCACGGGACACTGTGGCACGTGGGGCTGCCACGCCATGGGGACGGTGTGATGGGGCCGAGCCCCGCTGCCCAGGGATGCTCGACCCCGAGCCCCGCGTCCCCCCGTGCCCCCGGCCGCCCCGCTCGAGGGCCGTGAGCCGCCCCGCCGGCGAGCCCCCGGGTTTGGGGTGGCACGAGCCCCCCTGTGCCGGGTGGTTGCGCCGTCGGCAGGTCCCTTGCCAAGCTGGCGGGTGCCCCCAGCAGAAGATGCCCACCAGAAGCTCTCACGGGAGACCCTGGAGGAGCTGGATTGGTGCCTGGACCAGCTGGAGACGCTGCAGACCAGGCACTCGGTCAGCGAGATGGCCTCCAACAAGGTAAGGGGCCCTGTCACCGTCACCCTGGGGGGAATGGGGACCATGGCACTACTGAACCCCCTGGGCTGGGCAACTGGGGGGCCTGCTGGCCCCCTGCACCACTGATCCCCCCAGGATGGGCAACTGGGGGTCCTATGTGCCCCCTGCACCACTGATCCCCCCATGATGGGCAGCTGGGGGTCCTGTGTGCCCCTCACGCCACTGATCCCCCCAGGATGGGCAGCTGGGGGTCCTATGTGCCCCCTGCACCACTGATCCCCCCAGGATGGGCAGCTGGGGGTCCTATGTGCCCCCTGCACCACTGATCCCCCCAGGATGGGCAGCTGGGGGTCCTGTGTGCCCCCCACATCACAGAGCCCCCCGGGATGGGCACCTGGGGGTCCTGGGGGTCCTGTGTGCCCCCCACACTGCTGAGCTCTGCCCACCACCTGCAGTTCAAGCGGATGCTGAACCGGGAGCTGACGCACCTCTCGGAGACGAGCCGCTCCGGGAACCAGGTCTCCGAGTACATCTCCAGAACCTTCCTGGGTGAGGACCCCCCCACCCCAGGGACACCACTGGGGTCACCCCTCTGCTGGCAGCAGGGTGGGCTTTGTGCCCGCTTGCTTCTTGCGAAGGGATGAAATGGAGGGAAAAGGGAGGGGGACTTTCCCAGGTGTCCCAGTGGGATTTGCTGTTTGGGGCTGTAACACCCTTTGTCCTGGCTGGGTGTGCTGGTGCGTGCTGGTGCTTGCTGGTGCATGCTGGTGCATACTGGTGCACTGTGGGCTTGGAGGGGTATCCAGGGCAGGGTTTGTATCCACTGGCAGGCGGGTGGCTCGTGCAGGGCAGTGATGGAAAGTGCTGGGCACCCCCCACGCAGCCCCCAAATTGTCACGACATCACGGTGTCACCTGCGCTGCGTCATCAGCGCAAACCGGGGGGGGTGTCGGGGGGGAATTTGGGCTCCCACCCTGCTCACGCCCACCCCGGTGCCATCCCAGACAAGCAGCACGAGGTGGAGATCCCCTCGGCGCTGGCCAAGGACAAGGAGAAGGAGCGGAGGAAGCGCCCCATGTCCCAGATCAGCGGCGTCAGGAAGCTCACACACAGCTCCAGCCTCGCCGCCGCCGGCATCCCCCGCTTCGGGGTGCGCACGGACCACGAGGGGCTGCTGGCCAAGGTGGGCTTGGCACGGGTGACCCACCCAACCACAGGGTCCCTGGCGCCAGCCCCCCATGGACCTCCGTCCCTCTGGTCCCCAGGAGCTGGAGGACACCAACAAGTGGGGGCTCAACGTGTTTAAAGTCGCCGAGTACTCGGGGAACCGCCCGCTGACCGTCATCATGTACAGCATCTTCCAGGTGAGCATCCCGGTGGGATGGCCCTGTCCCCGTGCCCGGATGGGGACGAGTCACCTCCCGCCTCCCTGCAGGAGCGTGACCTGATGAAGACCTTCCGCATCCCCGTCAACACCTTCATCACCTACATGCTGACGCTGGAGGACCATTACCACGCCGACGTGGCCTATCACAACAACCTCCACGCCGCCGACGTGGCGCAGTCCACCCACGTCCTCCTCTCCACGCCTGCCCTGGAGGTGATTATTGGTCTCCTCAGGCCACCAGGTGTGTCTGGCAGGGTTGTAACACGCCCGCAACTCCTTCTCCCACCATTCCCAGGCTGTCTTCACGGACCTGGAGATCATGGCTGCCATCTTCGCCAGCGCCATCCACGACGTCGACCACCCCGGCGTCTCCAACCAGTTCCTCATCAACACCAGTGAGCTGGGGAGCAGGGATGGAGCTGGGGGGGTGTGGAGGACCCCACCTGGGGTCTCCCCAGGGTGACCGGTGCCCTCTCACAGACTCGGAGCTGGCGCTGATGTACAACGACGCCTCGGTGCTGGAGAACCACCACCTGGCCGTGGGCTTCAAGCTCCTCCAGGAGGAGAACTGTGACATCTTCCAGAACCTGAGCAGGAAGCAGAGGCAGACGCTCCGAAAAATGGTCATCGACATGGTACGGGGGGGCTGGACCACCCCAGGGTGGGGGTCTGGGCTGGGGGGAGTGTCAGGCTGAGCCCCGTTCCCGGCTTGCCCTGCCCAGGTGTTGGCCACGGACATGTCCAAGCACATGAACCTGCTGGCGGATCTGAAGACCATGGTGGAGACCAAGAAGGTGACCAGTCTGGGGGTGCTGCTGCTGGACAACTACTCCGACCGGATCCAGGTGGGCAGGGGGACACGGCTGGGAATCCTTCCTGGCACTGCGGATGTTGGGCATTGCTCTGGGCTGTGGGTACGTCCTGCCTGGTGGCTCCCAACCACAGCCGGGCATGGCCAAGGGTTCCTGGCACAGTGTGGGGGTGGTCCTGGGGGACAAAGGACACCGTGGCTGTGCCCACAGGTCCTGCAGAGCATGGTGCACTGTGCCGACCTCAGCAACCCCACGAAGCCCCTGGAGCTGTACCGGCAGTGGACCGACCGCATCATGGTGGAGTTCTTCCACCAGGGAGACCGGGAGCGGGAGAAGGGGATGGAGATCAGCCCCATGTGTGACAAGCACACCGCCTCCGTGGAGAAGTCCCAGGTGGGGCGGCGGCCTGGGGGCGGGGTGGGGGTGTGCAGGGCTGGGCCGGGGGCTCAGCTCTGCCTCCTTCCCCCCCTCAAGGTGGGCTTCATCGACTTCATCGCCCACCCGCTGTGGGAGACGTGGGCCGACCTGGTGCACCCCGATGCCCAGGAGCTCCTGGACACGCTGGAGGACAACCGGGAGTGGTACCAGAGCATGATCCGGCGCAGCCCGTCCCCTCCGCCCGAGGCACCCGGCGCGTCCCCCGCCAACACCGACAAGTTCCAGTTCGAGCTGACCCTGGAGGAGGAGGAGGAGGGTGAGTCAGACACGGAGCTGGAGGGGCCTGAGAGCCCCTTGGACGAGGACAACAGCGGCTCCAAGACACCGGGCACGGACGACTCGGAGTCGGCCGACACCAGGCGCTTGTCCCCCGGCCCCGGGGAGCGGGACTCGCCCGTGCCCCGCCCCAGGGACGTGGACAACCGGCGGGCGCTGGAGGGGACGCTGCCCAAGGACGGTGGCGGCGGGTGCTCCGTGCCAGGGCCCGAGGACAGCCAAGGGCTGTGCCTGGACACGGAGGGCAACGTCACATTCCTGTCCCTGGGCACGTAGCGGCACCAGCCCGTGGGTCCCCTCGCTGCCACGGGGACGTGGGACTGGGCTCTGGCCCTGGCCGGTGTTGGGGACAGTGGGGAGCTGGCAGTGGCACCACACAGGGCGTGGAGGGCCCCAAATCATGTCCCCGTGCGGGGTCTGGGCAGGTCCTGATGGACAGGAAGGCGCTGCTCGCCCTCTCCCATCTCCCACCAGCTGCTGGGAAAGGTCCCTGTCCCTTCAGGCAAGGCTTGGGGACACTGTGCTCTGGCCCCAGCCCAGCCCTGAGGACATCACACCCCACAGGGCTCCAGGAAGGAGTTCCCTGCAGGGCTGGGGCACAGCCAAAAGCATTCCAGCACTTTTCCAGGTGGCCCCTCGCAGGACAGCAGCCCCACGGTGGGACGGGGAGGTGGGTGAAGGGTGCTGGTGACACCCCCAGCACAAGGGACCCCCAGGCACCGGCGCACGGCACGGGCACGAGTCAGGGGTTTATTTATTTGGGGACAGGTTCACTTTTTAAAGCCTTTTGTAGCTCACTTTTTACTCCGAGCCTCTCCGAGGCCGCACTCACGTGGATATTTGGGGCGGAAAGACACGTTTTTCGGGGTGGAAAGTCGTGTTTCTGCTCCATGATCACTGAAAATGCTGCGTTTTTACTTCACACTTCGGGCCCCGGCAGGTGCTGTGACTCCCCCACCCCCGTGTCTCCCTCATCCTGCCCGGGGACAGCCCCCCAGGATCCTTCTGGGTTTTCCTTCACCTTTTCAGAGATTAAACCTGGTTTGTTCCACCCTAAACACGAGCCTTTTAAGTGCCTCCTTACCTTAGAAGTGCCTTTTCCTGGTGTCACGGGAGCCGTGCCAATGTCCCCGGGGACTGGCGTGGTTGGTGGCCCCTGCGGGCACCAGGGAGGGCCTGGAACAAAAGGAGCTCCTCCCTGGAAACGCCGAGATCCATCACTGGCAACCACGGCCTGCTAAGGTAAATATTTAATCGCCGGCTTGGCGCAGCGCGAGGCCCGTTCCCGGCTCTTCCGCATTGCTCCCAACGGTGATTTATCTCCGCAAACACGTCCCCACCCCTGGCACTGCCCTGGCACTGCCCCGGCACGTGGGGCCCCCGAGGCTCTCACCCCCTGCCCGCCCCACACTGTCCCCCGTGGCGGCAGCAGGGCCTTGGGAGCTGGATGACCCTTTCCCAGCCCAGGGATGAGCTGGGAGCGCTGGAGCCACACGGGGTGGTCGTTCCTGGTGGGTGCTGGGTGTCCTCCTGCCTCTGCTGGGGGAGAGGGGCTGTGCTGAGAGGGGCCAGCTGAGGCTCTGTGCTCCCAGAACTCCTCGAACCCAGGTCTGTCCCAGACTCTGCTGGGCTGGAGCAGGGCAGGAGCTGGTGGGAAAAAGCCCTTTTCATCCCGTGCTTGGCTGAGGGGCTGCAGAATCCACGGACAAGGAAGGTGGTGGAGCTGTTGCCCGGCGAAGGTGGGGGCAGCACCCATGGTCCATCCCTGTGGCTGGATCTGTCCCTATAGCTGAATCCATCCCTGAGGGTGGATCTATCCCTAAACCTGGATCCATCCCTATGGCTGGATCTATCCCTGCAGCTGGGTCCATTCCCGAGCTTGGGCCCATCCCCATGGTTGGATCCAACCCTGTGTGCGGGTCTGCCCCTGAGCCTGGATCCATCCCTGAGCCTGGATCCATCCCTGAGCCTGGATCCATCCCTATGCCTGGATCCAACCATGCAGCTGGATCATCCTTGAGCCTGGGCCCATCCCCATGGCTGGATCCATCCCTGACTCTGGATCCATCCCTATGCCTGGATCCATCCCTATGCCTGGATCCATCCCTGCCTCCCGGCCATCCTGTTGTCACTGGGGGCTGTTGCTCTGTCTCCTCACGGTGGGCTCTCACTGCCCACCTGGACAGTGCCCACCGTGTCCGGCAGCTCCAGCCAGAGCCCGGGGGGTGTCCGGCTCCATCCTCCGGGGGCTCTGGGTCCTGGATAGGCCCCGGTGGGGCTGCACCGGGACAGGGGCCATTTAAAGCCCCCGGGCAGGGCACGACAGGGCAGTGCCCGGGAGGCTCCGGGCAGGGTAGGGCAGGGCCCGGGAGGGTCCCGGGGCCCCGGGCAGGGCAGGGCAGGCCCGGGCAGGGCGGTGCCGGTGCCCCGAGGCCGCCATATGCTGCCTCCCCTAATCCCCGCTGGAACCTGAGGGCGAGGGAGGACATGGCCGCCCACCTGCGCACCAGCCCCGCCTCAGCGCCAGGCGCCCTGCCAGGGTAAAGATCAGCCCGACCGCCACTGCCACGCCTAGGGGGGGCGTCGCGATATAGCGCGCCATGTCGCGACAGCCAGGCTGCGAGATCCCGCTCCTCCCCCCCTTGAGCGGGAATGGTCCGCCCCGCTCCCCCCGCCCGCGCGGCGCGTGGTTCACCCCGCGCCTCACACCGCTCGGCCGGACCGCACCACCGCGCGCGGCCGAGGGGGGGGCGCGGCGCCCACCACCGCGCCGGGAGGGGGGGGCCGCCCCCCCCCACACCTCCCCGCTGTCCATCACCGCGCGCCGCCGGGCCAATCAGCGCCGCGCTCCGGGGCGCGCCCGTGACGCGAAGGTTCATTTGCATAGCGGGCCACGCCCCTTCTGCCGACGTCACCCGGGGTCCGCATCTGCTGCAGTCGCTGCGGGAGGAGCGAGCGCGGCAGAGGTGAGACCCCCCCCACACCCACCGCCGGGACCCCCCCAAACCCCCCGGCACCCCCGGCACCCCCCAGCACCCAGGGGTTCGCCCGGCAGCCGGCGGGGAGGCGCGGTGCAGCGGGGGAGGCGGGAGGCGGCGGGCGGGGGGCGGAGGGGGGGTGATGATGATGATGGTGATGATGATGATGGTGATGGTGATGGTGGTGGTGGTGATGATGGTGATGGATGCGGCGCAGGGCGGGGGGGATGCGCAGGGTCCCCGTTGAAGGGGGGTTGCGACGCGGACCGAATGGGTGCAGCGGGGTCGGGCACGGGGTGGGCGCCTCCCTGCAGCGCCTGGAGCGGCCCCATGAGCGCCCTGAGCCCCCCCTGTACCCCCCCCATCAGGACCCGGCGCCTCCTCCCTGCAGCGCCCTGTGCGCCCCCCATGAGCGCCCTGCGCCCCCACCCATCGGCATCCCCAGCCCCCTCCTTGTAGCACCCTGCACCCTCGCTGTGAGCACCCCGTGCACCCCCCGTGAGCGCCCTGCACCCCCCCATCAGCACCCTAAACCCCCTCCCTGTAGCAGCCGGCACCCCCCTCCATCGGCACCCTGAACCCCGCAGCGCTTCCCAGCATCCCTGTGCTCCATCCTGCATCCCCCCGCAGCAGCCCTGGGTGGGCACCCATCTCTGTGCCCCCCCTGCCTGGCATCAGCACCCCCCCGGCACCCCGGGACCTCCCCCCCCGGCACCCTGTGGCACCTCGCGGTGCCGTGTCACCACCGCGCTGGTGCCATTTTGTGGGGGAGATGCAGGAGAGGCTGCGGAGTCCCGGCCGCACCTGCCGATGCCGCGGCAAATCCTGCGATCCGTGGCAAATCCCGGGATCCAGGGCAAATCTTGCGATCCGTGGCAAATCCCGGGGGCCATGGCAAACCCCTGGATCCATAGCAAACCCCAGGATCCACAGCAAATCCTGGGGGCCACAGCAAATCCCAGGGGCTGTGGCAAACCCTTGGGGTCCACAGCAAACCCCAGGATCTGTGGCAAACCCTGGGATCCACGGCAAATCCTGGGGGCCACAGAAAATCCTGGGGGCCATGGCAAATCCTGGGATCCACAGGAAACCTTCTGGGGGTCACAGCAAATCCTGGGGGTCGCAAGAAACCCTGGGATGCACAGCAAATCCTGGGATGCACAGCAAATCCTAGGGGGCCACAGCAAATCCTAGGGGGCCACAGCAAATCCTGGGGGGCCACGGCAAATCCTGGGGGGCCATGGCAAACCCCGGGATCCACAGCAAACCCCAGGATCCACGGCAACTCCTGGGGACCACGGCACATTCCGAGGGCTGCGGGAAACCCTGGGATCCACGGCAAAGGCCGGGATCCACGTGCCCCACATGTACCACGGGCCCGCCTCGCTGGGGGTGACAGGAGGTGTCCTGTGCGAGCCCTGTGGGGCGAGTGACCCACCGTGGCCCCCCCACCGCCCATCCCAAGCCGGAACACGCCGGCTCCGTGCCCGCAGCGCCGGGAATCGGCTCCGAGCCGGGGCCTGGACCGTCACGGCCTCTCCCCCGCCTTGCAGATGGCGTCGGCTACCGACTCCCGCTATGGGCAGAAGGAATCCTCGGACCAGAACTTCGATTACATGTTCAAGATCCTGATCATCGGGAACAGCAGCGTCGGGAAAACCTCCTTCCTGTTCCGGTACGCCGACGACTCCTTCACGCCCGCCTTCGTCAGCACCGTCGGCATCGACTTCAAGGTCAAGACCATCTATCGGAACGACAAGCGCATCAAGCTGCAGATCTGGGTGAGACCCCCGGGGCGCCCTCGGACCCCCACGGAGGGGTGGGAGGGGGTGGTCGTGTCGGGGCTGCTCCGCCCTGCGGAGCTGGAAGGGCTGGAAGCACCGGGAGCGGCGCTGGGGTGGGAGGGGATGTGTCCTCAGGGACCTTGGTGGTCCTTGGAGGGCCCTGAGGGGTGTCACTGTGTCCCCAGGGGTGATGCTGGGGTGGAAGGGATGTGTCCTCAGGGACCTTGGTGACGCCCAGAGCGCCCCAAGGGGTGTCACTGTGTCCCCAGGGGTGATGCTGGGGTGGAAGGGATGCATCCTCAGGGACCTTGGTGGTCCTTGGAGCACCCCGAGGGTTGTCACTGTGTCCCTGGGGATGACATGGTGGGGAGGGACATGTCCTTAGGGACCCCTGGAGCACCCCAAGGAGTGTCACTGTGGCCCCAGAGGTGACATGGTGGGGAGGGATTTGTCCCCATGAACCTGGGTGGCCTCTGGAGAGCCCTGAGGGTGATGCCAGGGTGGAGAGGGACGTGTCCCCAGGGATCTCAATGGCACCTGGAGCACCCTAAGGGGTGTCATTGTCCACCCCAGTGACATGATGGGGAGGGACGTGTCCCCAGGGATCCCTGGAGAACCCTGAGGGGTGTCACTGTGCCCCTGGGGGTGACATGGTGGGAAGAGACATGTCCCCAGGGACCTTGGTGGCACCAGAGCTCCTCGAGGGGTGTCATTGTGTCCCCAGGGGTGATGCCCGGGTGGGAAGGGACGTGTCCCCAGGGACCTCAGTGGCCCTCAGACTGCCCCAAGGGGCGTCACTGTGTCCCTGGGGGTGACATGGTGGGGAGGGACATGTCCCCAGGGACCCCTGGAGCACCCCAAGGGGTGTCACTGTGTCCCCAGGGGTGACGTGGTGGGGAGGGACATGTCCCCAGGGACCCCTGGAGCACCCCAAGGGGTGTCACTGTGTCCCCAGGGGTGACATGGTGGGGAGGGACATGTCCCCAGGGACCCCTGGCGAGCCCTGAGGGGTGTCACTGTGTCCCCGGGGGTGACATGGCGGGAAGAGATGTGTCCCCAGGGACCTCTGTGACCCCTGGAGCGCCCCGAGGGGTGTCACTGTCCCCCCCAGGGGTGACATCCTGCTGTCCCTGCCCAGGACACGGCCGGGCAGGAGCGGTACCGCACCATCACCACCGCCTACTACCGCGGGGCCATGGGCTTCATCCTCATGTACGACATCACCAACGAGGAGTCCTTCAACGCCGTGCAGGACTGGTGAGTGCCCCCCAGCCCTTCCCAGCCACCCCCTCCAGCGCCCTGCTCAGCCCCCCATTGGGAGCATCCCCCCATTATCCCTCTTCTCCTTCCCCCAAAGGTCCACCCAGATCAAGACCTACTCCTGGGACAACGCCCAGGTGCTGCTGGTGGGGAACAAGTGTGACATGGAGGACGAGCGCGTGGTCTCCTCGGAGAAGGGCCGCCAGCTCGCCGAGCACCTGGGTGAGCTGGGGAGAGGGGAACGCTCCCCCACGGCCATCATCCAACAAATAATTTAATTAAGGGCTTAATTCCCTCCCTGTAATTGCTCCGCTTTGACACCGGCTGGTGACTCGGCACCAGGTGAAAAAAACCATGGAGTCCTTGAGCTGTGTGGGGGGGTTTATTACCACCCTGAAACCCTCTGAGAGCTGCTGGGGAGGGGGAATGGGAGGGGGAGTTTCTGGGCGAGGTGTCCCCGCGTGGGGGGCAGGTTGGACACTGCGGGTTGGGCAGCTCATTAATATTTAACGAGGGGAGGAGGAGGAGGAGAAGGAGCCGTGGCGGTTTCCGATGTTGTCGGGGCTGGAGGCAGGGCTGGAACCCTGATCTGTCTGTCTGTGTGTGTGTCCCCCCCGTGTCCCTCTGCCCCCACCCCGTGCAGGATTTGAGTTTTTCGAGGCCAGTGCCAAGGACAACATCAACGTGAAGCAGACCTTCGAGCGGCTGGTGGACATCATCTGCGAGAAGATGTCGGAGTCGCTGGACACGGCCGACCCCGCCGTCACCGGGGCCAAGCAGGGCCCCCAGCTCACGGACCAGCAGGCCCCTCCCCACCAGGACTGTGCCTGCTAGGGGCCAGCCCCCCCCCTCCTCCACAAACCCCCCCAAAAACCGGTCAGTGCACCCCCCAACCCCCCCCCAGCCCCTCCTCTTGGGGGTCCCGCGGGGGAATTGCTGCTGATACCTCCCAAAGGGCTGCGGCCCCTTTAGGAGCTCCCCACCCCACCCACGCCCCCATAATTCATTAGGCTGTGCCCCCCAACCCACCCCCTTAATTTATTTTGAAGCCTGGGCTGGTAGAAAACTCCCCTCATTCTGCTTTTAATCACTGTCCAAGGTATCATTGCCCCCAGCCCTTCCCTGAGAACCCCCTTCCCTGGGGGATCCCCTTCCCTGGGGACCTCCTTCCCTGGGGACCCCACTGCTCTGAGGGGACCCCCCCTCTTCCCTGAGAAACTCCTGCCCTGGGGACCCCTAATCCCTGGGGACCCCCTTCCCTGAGGACCCTATTCCCTGGGGGAGCCCCTTGCCCTGGGGACCCCCTGACCTTGGGACCCACTGCCTTGGGAGACCCTCCTGCCCTGAGAAGCCCCTTCCCTGGGGACCCCCTTCCCTTGGGATCCCCTTCTCTGAGAACCCCATTCCATAGGAGACCCCTCCCTGTGCCCTGAGACCCCCCCCTGCCCTGGGAGACCCTCCTGCCCTGAGAAGCCCCTTCCCTGGAGACCCCCTTCTGCGAGAACCCCCTTCCCTGAGAACCCCCTTCCCTGGGCACCCCCTTCCCTGAGAACCCCCTTCCCTGGGCACCCCCTTCCCTGAGAACCCCCTTCCCTGGGGATCCCCTTCTCTGGGTATCCCCTTCCCTGGGCACCCCCTTCCCTGAGAACCCCCTTCCCTGGGCACCCCCTTCCCTGAGAACCCCATTCTCTGGGAGACCCCCCCTTCCCCAAGGACCCCCCTCCCCAGGGTGTGGCTGCTTCCCCAGGACCCCCAAACCCCAAATCCTCCCTCCCCAGCCTGGCATTGCTCCCCCCTTTCCCCCCAACCCCCAAGAGCTCCCGGAAGGGGGATGAGCTCTTTGTTCCCGGCTTTTCCTGCCCCTCCAGCTGGATGGATATTTCCTGACTCTTGTTTATTTGTATAAATAGATGCTAATTTATGCTCCCGCCGTCTTCCTCCTTGTACATACAGAGATTCCTTGTAAATAGGCGTAGGAAGTGACGCTGTGACCTGCTGTGCTGTGGCCGTGGTGGTGCATTTATATATATATATATATATATATTGATTTTTTTTCCTCTCTTTTTTTTTTTTTCCCCTCCTTTTTTTTTGTTTTTTTTGGTGTGGTAACCTTGCTTGTGAATATCACTTTAAAAAAAAAAAACAAAACAAACAAAAAAAACCACAAAAACAAAACGAAATCTCTTATTATTTAAAAGATTTAAAAGGAAATGAGTTCATTAAGTAACATCAGCGAGGCCAAGAGACCTGGAGTGAATCAGCCCCGGGGTTTGGAGGGGGGGGGGGACGAGCAGAGTGTTGCTGGTTTGCTCCAGGGATTTGGGAATCTCGTGTTCCTGTAGTACTGTGCTTCTGTGGAGACTGTGAATAAGTGGATATTCCCGTAGCAATGACAAGAGCTGCCCTTTATTTATTTTTTTTCTTGGAGCGCCGTGTCTTTTATTTCACAGGGTTTTTTTTTTCCCCTTCCCCTCTTTCCCCTCCCCTACCATAATTCCATCTTCCTCCCTCTCCCCCCTTTTCCAGCCCCCTCCCTCTTTTTTGTGAAGTTTACTTATGGAAGAGTTACACTGTACTGTACAAATGTCAAAAGTGTCAAAAAAAAAACCAACAAAACGACAAAAAAAAAAAAAAGGGTACAATTTCCTAAAAATCACTGTATTAAAAAGAAATGTTGTGAAGAAATAAATTGATGCTGATCACACAGGTCCCTCGGGGTCGTTGTGGGCACAGAGGGGACAGTGGGGTGCACCCTCTGCTCTGTGGTGTCCCTGAGTTGCCAGAGGAGCCAAAATTATCTGGGGTTTTGTTGTTTTTTGGTTTTTTTTTAATTCTCATTCCCCAACTGGCTCCTGCTGCTGTGGAAGGAGGGATTGTGTCCCTCCAGGGCTGTGACACCAGGAGGCACGAGAGCAGAGCCTTAAGGCACAGCTTGAAAACTAAGGAAAAAAAAAATCACATTTAGGTAGTTTTCATTGATACTGGAAATAATTCAGCTCCTGGCTGGTGCAGGGAGTGTCCAGCTCGCCCAGGGCTGGGAGAAGAGGGATGGGATGGTCCAAATCCTGCTAAAATTTGCCTCCAACCCCCCCTCCCAGCCGCCTCCCAGGCTCGGCAGAGCAGACTGGTGTGATCACACCCCTATTTATATCCCAGCTGGGAGGCTCCAGCCCCCACAGCCAGGGGGGTGGAAAGGGGGGAATGGGGGGAACAGGAGCAGAGGGTGGGGGAGTGGAGTGATTCCATCCTTGAGCTGCAAGACAAAAAGCAGGAGGGGAAGGAATGAGGAGCTGCAGAGGGGCATCCTCCCTCTGCCAAGCAGGCAAAATGAATCATGGAATGCTTTGGAGGGGAAGGACAAAGCTCATCCAGTGCCACCCCCTGCCACGGGCAGGGACACCTTCCACTAGCCCAGGTTGTTCCAACCTGGCCTTGGACACTTCCAGGGATCCAGGGGCAGCCACAGCTTCCCTGGGCACCCTGTGCCAGGGCCTGCCCACCCTCACAGGGAAGAATTCCTTCCTGATTAATTAGTGAGGATCTGAGTGGCTGGAGTGGATCTGAGGAGGTTGGAGAGGAGCAAGTTTGCTCTGGAGAGAGGGAACAAATCCAGCCTGGAGCAGCCAGGGAAAGCACCAGAGCCCTTCCTGGGGGCTGCAGCAGCTCCTCACCCCGGCTCCAGGGGTAAATCCCAGAAGAAATCACTTTACAGGTCATCCTGCAACAGGAGATTGTTACCAACACAACCCCAACCCATCCTAATTAGCAGATGAGTTAATCAGCAAGAGGCACGTGGCTGGGGGGGGGTCTGGCCTTGGTGGTCTCCAGCCATCACTCCCCTTGGGTTGATCAATCCCCAGGGGCCACAATGCCCCCCCCAAAAATGCCATTTGCTGCAGGCAGGAGCCTCTGGAAGCGCCACATCCACCTCTCTATGCCCTGGCACTGCGCTGCTGCTCCTCCTGAGGAGAGTCCTGCTTGGGGCTTGGGGCGGCTCTAGGCTGGAAAACAGGGATAATGGGATCAGCTGGGCACCCTCCAGACTGGTCAGAGTGCCAGCCCAGGGGTCTCACTGGGTGTTTGAGGTGGGATAGGGACAGTCCCAGACCTGTGTTTGAGGTGGGACAGGGACAGTTCCAGCCCAGGGGACTCACCCAGTGTTTGGGGTGGGACAGGGACAGTTCCAGCCCAGGGGACTCACTGGGTGTTTGAGTTGGGACAGGGACAGTCCCAGACCTGTGTTTGAGGTGGGACAGGAACAGTTCCAAGGGGACTCACTGGGTGTTTGAGGTGGGACAGGGACAGTGTTTGAGGTGGGACAGGGACAGTCCCAGACCTGTATTTGAGGTGGGACAGGGACAGTCCCAGGGGACTCACTGGGTGTTTGGGGTGGGACAGGGACAGTGTTTGAGGTGGGACAGGGACAGTCCCAGCCCAGGGGACTCACCCTGTGTTTGAGGTGTGACAGGGACAGTCCCAGGGGACTCACTGGGTGTTTGGGGTGGGACAGGGACAGTGTTTGAGGTGGGACAGGGACAGTCCCAGCCCAGGGGACTCACCCTGTGTTTGAGGTGGGACAGGGACAGTCCCAGGGGACTCACTGGGTGTTTGGGGTGGGACAGGGACAGTGTTTGGGGTGGGACAGGGACAGTCCCAGCCCAGGGGACTCACCCTGTATTTGAGGTAGGACAGGTAGGTGTCCCAGCCCAGGGTGACCACGTTGACATAAACCACCCGGTAGGTGGGAGGGACGAAGAGGAAGTTGAGCAGCTGAGCCGCCGGCCACACGCACCAGTCGGCCTGTGGGGAGCGAGGAGCCAGCTGGATGCTTCCCACTGGATCCAGGGATGTGCCAGGGGAGGGAGGGAGAGCTCAGGGGTGGGTTTACCTTGTAAAGCTCCCAGAATTTCTCCTTGAGCTCGTCCCAGCTCTCCTCCAGAGACTGACCTTCCAGGGTGCCGATGCCTGTGGGGACAGAGTCAGTGGGGGTGGGAGCATGGATGGGAATTGCCATCTCAGTGCCAGACATGGAAAGGGCCCCCAAAACCCTCTCAATATGGGAGGGAAGGGCACTGAAGCACCATCCAGAGGGAGGGAGCTCCAGGAAATGGAAGGGGAAGCACAGGGGCTGCACTGATCTCTGGTGAGCAGGGACAGGACCCAGGGAGCAGCTGGAGCTGAGCCAGGAGAGGGTTAGGTTGGATATTGGGAAATTCTTCCCCCAGAGGGTGGTGGGGCACTGACCAGGCTCCCCAGGGCAGTGGGCACAGCCCCAAGGCTGCCAGTCCTCAAGGAGGGCTTGGACAACGCTCTGAGGGACAGGGGGGGATTGCTGGGGTGTCCTGATGATCTTTGTGGGTCCCTTCCCACTCAGGATATTCCAGGATTCTACAGAAATCCTGCTGCATTGTTGCTGTGGATGTTTCTGTGTTCGTAGGTGACAAATCAAGGCCCAACTCCTTCAATAAAGAGGGGCAGGGGGTGGAGAAGAACAAAAGCAAACCCTGGGGAACATGTCCAGAACTCTTGGACAGTGCTCTGAGGGACAGGGGGGGATTGCTGGGGTGTCCTGGGCAGGGCCTGGAGTTGGACTGGATGATCCCTCCCAGCTCAGGATATTCCAGGATTCCATGAATCCCACTCCCAGCCCGCGGTGCCACACGTACCCAGGAAGTACCAGGCGCCCAGGCCGGGCGATGCCACGAGCTGGTCGATGAGGACTTTCTTCAGGACCGTCCGGAGGCTCCGCACGCCCCGGGCCGGGAACGCCGAGTCCAGCCAGAGGTACCAGTAGTGCATCAAGGGGCCCATGCTGCAGCCAACGGCAAACATCCGACCTGGGAACAACAGCAGGGGCGGGGATGGAGGATTTGCACTGCCAGAGGGCAGGGTTAGGTGGGATAGATGGGATATTAGGGAGGAATTCTTCCCTGAGAGGGCGGGGAGGGCCTGGCACAGGTTGCCCAGAGAAGCTGTGGCTGCCCCATCCCTGGGAGTGTCCAAGGCCAGGTTGGAACAACCTGGGATAGTGGAAGGTGTCCCTGCCCGTGGCAGGGGGTGGGACTGGATGGGCTTTAAGGTCCCTCCCAACCCAAATCATTCTGGGATTCTGTGATTAATTCCTCATTGTCACAGACAGCATCACACTTTGTGCCTTCCCCAGAGCTGAATCCACTTTTGGGAGAAGCACCCAGGAGGGGGGTTCCATAAATCACAGAATCCCAGAATGGTTTGGGTTGGGAGGGACCATAAAGCCCATCCACTCCCACCCCCTGCCACAGGCAGGGACACCTTCCACTAGCCCAGGGTGTTCCAACTTGGCCTTGGACACTTCCAGGGATCCAGGGGCAGCCACAGCTTCTCTGGGCAACCTGTGCCAGGGCCTGCCCACCTTCCCAGGCAGGAATTCCTTCCTAATATCCCATCTATCCCTGCCCTCTGGCAGTGGGAAGCCATTCCCTATATCCTGTCCCTCCATCCCTTGTCCCAAGTCCCTCTCCAGCTCTCCTGGAGCCCCTTCAGGCACTGGAAGGGGCCCCAAGATCTCCCTGGAGCCTTCCCTTCTCCAACCTGGCCTTGGACACTTCCAGGGATGGGACAGCCACAGCTTCTCCGGGAAATCCATTCCAGCCCCTCACCAACCTCACGGCGAGGAATTCCTTCCCAATATCCCATCCAACGCTGCCCTCTGGCAGTGGGAGTCACCCAGCCTGTCCTGCCCCCCCCTCCCAGTCCCTCACCAGTACGGCCCAGCTGGTGTTGGCTCTCCGGGTGCCTCCGGTGGTGCCATTCCTGCTGCAGGGAATCTCCAGCTGCCAGGAGGCCCCCGCAGCTCAGGGTGTTGGTGAGGAGCAGGAGCCTCCCCGTGAACAGGGATTTCCAGGAGCGCAGGAGCCGCCGGCCCCGCGACAGCATCCTGTGGGAACAGCCCCCCTGCGCTGGGCTCAGCGGGGAGGGACTCCCCCACAGCACCCCTGGTGTGACCCCGTGCCTCCCAGTCACTCCCAGTGCCCCCAGTCAGCCACGCTGTGCTCCCCAGTTCACCCAGTTAGTGTTTGTGTACCCTCCCAGTTGCCCCACGCCTCCCAGTTTTCCATGCTGGGCTCCCCAGTTAGTGCTTCTGTACCTGCCCAGTCCCTCCTGTGCTCCCAGTTATCCACGCTGGGCCCCCCCAGTTATTGCTTGTGTACCCTCCCAGTTCCCCCTGTGCCCCCCAGTTTGTGCTCCGGTACCCCCCCCAGTTTGCCCAGTTAGTGCTCTTGTACCCTCCCAGTTCCCTTTGTGCCCCCAGTTATCCCTGTTGGGCTCCCCAGTTCACCCAGTTAGTGCTTATGTACCTTTCCAGTTATCCACCTTGTGCTCCCCAGTTTGTCCAGTTAGTGCTCCTGTACCCTCCCAGTCTCCCCAGTTAGTGCTCCTGTACCCCCCCAGTTCCCCGTGCTCTCCAGTTATCCTCCCAGTTAGCCCTGCCTCACCCTCCCAGTCCCCCCGTCACACCTCCTATGCCCCCCTCACACCTCCCCCCGGACCCTTCCCCCGTCACCCCAGTGCCTCCCAGTCACCCCCAGTGCCCCCAGTCACCCCCCTGCACGTGCCTCCCACTCACCCCAGTTATTCCTGCACCCCCTGTGGGCCCCTAGTGCCCTTTTCTGGGCACCCCTCGAGCTCCTTGTGCCCCCAGTTCCCCTCCAGTTCTCCCCAGTTCTCCCCAGTTCTCCCAGTGCCCTCCCCGCCACTACCGGGCGCTCCCACCGCCCGTACCCGGAAGAGGGAGCATCACGTGACGCGGCTCTTCCGGTTCCTGCGCCCGCCATGACACCTACCGGGGCACAGGGGCCGCCATGACACCTCCCCAGGCAGCAGCTCGTCCATGGGATTGGGGAGGGACGGGGGGGACGGGGGGCTGCTCCAAGGCGTCCCCACGGTGCCCCAGCCCTGCCCTGTCCCTCTGGGCTCAGCAGAGGGGCTGGGGGGGTGTGTCAGCATGGGATCCATGGGATCTGTCACCACGGGATGCCCCCGTGGAGGTGGCAGTGATGGGTGTCAACAGCACTGCAGGGGCAGGGCCCACCGCTCTCCCACCTCTGCTGGTGCCACCTGGGTCCCCAGGTGTTGAGACGCCACTGAGACCCTCCAGGCTGACCCCCTACATGCACCCAAAGAGCCTTTGGAACCTCTGAGAAGCTCCTCTTTGGACCCCTGAACATCAGCTCGGGGTCCCCCTGGTTGTGGGGGGGCAGCAGAAGGGGCAGGGGGTACGTTGCTGCTCCTTGTCCTTGGAGTTTGTCACTCCCAAGGACACCCTGGTAAGGCACAGAGGTCTCCTGCTGAGCTGGGACAGCTCTGGAGACCAAAGATCCCTCCTGCTCACAAATAAATGTTCTCCTGCCAGGACTGAGGCCCGGGGCAGGAAGGCAAAAAACCCACCAGCTTCTAAAAACGTCAGCTTTATTCCACTTCTGAGCGCAGCTGAGGAATCCTGCTCCTCCAGACACCCCATCCCAACGCCTCCTCTTGCTTCCACGCCACGGGAAGGGCCTGGCCAGCCCTATCTATAGGAATTGGCCTTGTGTTTTGGCAGGAAGGTGAAGCTGGGAGGGACAGGGCCCAGGAGCAGCTCACTGGAAGAAAGAATCAATCACAGAATCAATCAAGAGACCTTAAAGACCATTTTGTTCCAGCCCCTTCTGCTAGCCCAGGTTGCTCCAAGCCTCATCCAACCTGGCCTTGGGACACTTCCAGGGAAGAAACACAAGGACAACGACAAAACCAAACCCAAGGAGAGGTTTGTGTTCAGCCCACGGTTGTCACACGGCCCTGTGGCTCTACGGGGGCTCTGCCACGTCCCTTTTTAGCAATTTAAATTAAATTCCACATTTTATTACCTTATTCTGATCCAATCATCCACGTTCTGGCTGGCCATGAGTGTCTCCAGGTAGTCCCTCCCCAGGTAATACGGCGGCCGCTCGTTAATTCTCTGAGGTAGATGTTCCAATAATCCAACTGGAATGTACCTGGGATGGGATGGAACAGCAGTGAGTGCTGGAGTTTAATTAAATATTGTTCAAAGATCCTCTTGGATCAATCCAGTTTTGGCTGGGCACAGTTACCTGCACAGGAAAGAGAGCCATTCCAGCAGGAATTTCCTGGTTTTCTCCACTCCCTGAGTGTCCGACCCCCAGTGCTCGAGGCCGTAGTTGGTGAAGTCTTTGAGGATGTCAAACCTTTCCCCAGAGGAGATATCCCAGTGTCTCTGCTCCTTAATTTCGGTGAAAAGCCACGGTTTGATGAGTGCCCCTCTGCAGCCAAAAAAAAAAAAAAAAAAAAAAAGAGGCATTGTTATTCCCATCACTGATTCTCCTGAAGATGCCAACTGATTTTAGTCACTTCCCAGCCCTTTTTACCAGCCAATTCTGCTTTTAATTTTGTTTCTCATTCCAACAAGAAGCTGCTGGAACTTCCCACCGATCCAAATTGATTTTATCAATTTTCAGAGCAGTTTCAACACGAGGAAACTTCTCGTGTTTTGAGGTTGTTTAGGGATTTTTTTTTTAATTCCTTTTTTTTTTTTTTTAACTCTGGAACCAAAAAGAGCTCAGAAGTGAAGGGAAACACAAGCACTTGCCTTGCAATCATGATTCCAGAAACTCCCATCTCCATGGCTCGATTTGCATCTTCGTAAGATAAAATATCTCCATTTCCTGCCCGGAAAGGAGGGAGAAGCCAGAGGTCAAAGTGAGCCATAAGGACAAGTCAAAATGAGTTAATCCAGGCACGAGATAAAATTCAAAATGGACACACAGTCCAAGAACCAGACTGTTCAAAGAGCCAAGGTTAGAGATTCCCAGGGATGTTTATGGGGTGGATATTTATGATTCCTCTTACAAGGAAAAGAGGAGCCTTCTCCTCTCTTCTCCTCCACTCCCAGCTCCTACCTGGAAGGTTTGGGGATTGTCTGTGCCACAGGGGCCCAAAAAGCACCTGGTAAAACCCAAGTGGTTCATGTCCTACCTGTCCTTTCTCCTCATCCCCAAACACAAGTAGAGGTGCCGGTAACTCCACCAGGGATGCTCCAAACTTTCCCCCAGGCTAAATATCATTGGGAATCTGGGGTTTTCTTCCCTTTTTTTAAAGGTATTTCAAATCAAAGAGGTGAAGGAACAAGACTCACGTACCAAACAGGGGCATGGGGCTGGCGATCTTGGCGCACTCGGCGATGTATTCCCAGTCGGCGCTCCGCGTGTACCGCTGCTCCCGGGATCGGCCGTGGAGCTGGGGGAGAGATCCCGCTCAGACCTCGCTGGAGAGGCAGGGCAGGACAGGAGGAACGTGCTCCAGCAAAGGGAATCACACCAGGATGGGGTAAGGGATCCTCGGGATCTACCTCAGGATCTTCTTCAGGATCTGCTTCTGGATCTACGACCCAGCAGCAGCTGACAGAGCAGAGCTGGGTAAGGGGTCCCTCAGGATTTACCTCTGGATCTTCTTCAGGATCTACTTCTGGATCTACCACCCAGCAGCTGCTCACAGAGCAGACCTGGGTAAAGAATCCCTTGGGATTTTCCTCTGGATCTACAGCCCAGGAACTGCTGATGGAGGGGGCTGAGGAAGGGGTGAGCAGAGCTGGGAAAGGGATCCCTCAGGATCTACCTCTGGATCTACTTCAGGATCTACCTTTGTATTTACAGCCCAGTGGTGCTGAAAGAGAACTGGGTAAGGGATCCCTCAGGATCTACCTCTGGACCTACAGGAAGGGCTGGGCATAGCTGAGTGGGCTGGAGGCTTTTGGGGTGACATTTTGGCTATTTGTGAGCCAGAGCAAGAAGTGGCTGTTCACAGGGAATGGGAATATTCTCCGTGGGCAGGAACTAACCCCCACACAATGAGCTGGTCTCATTATTTCCCCAGCCCTGACAGAACGAGGCTTCCCTGGCTGAAACTTCGGCAGGAACCATCTCCATAAGGTTGTGGATGCCCCATCCCTGGAAGTGTCCAAGGCCAGGTTGGACAGGGCTTGGAAGAACCTGGGATAGTGGAAGGTGTCCCAGGAGCAACAAGGAAAACACTTTCTGCTCCTGAATTTTCCTCTTGGGTTAGCAGAGAACACTAAAATGCAGCACAGACCTGCTCCAAGGGGTTTGAAAGAGCTGTTGGGGCAGGGGAAGGTCACCCCCACCTTGTCTCCAGGCTGACGTGCAGAATTCCCAATCTCACAACCAGCACAAGTATTCCCGTACCGTGACCATGGATGCTCCCCACTCCCGGATCCTGGGGATGATTTTATGAGCCACATTAATCTTTTCTTGCACTCCAGTCCGGATCTTCACCGTCAGAGGCACATCCAGCACCTGCAGGAGTGGGAGAATGAGGCCAGGCCGAGGCAGGAGGTGGCTCCATCAGCTCCATCATCTCCAGGCGCTCCGACTCACTGAGTTCATCCCGCGGACAATCTGTTCAAACTTGTTGGAGCGAGTCATGAGAGCACAACCTCCTCCCTGAGGGACAAAACGTGGCACAGTCAAGACTTTCCGCTTCCTTGCATAGTAAAGAGTCCTTGGAGCTGCTCAGGGAATGCAGGAAAGACTTGGAGCATCTCAAGGCTTGCAGAAAATGGATTCTTTAACAAAAAAAACCCACCAGCCCACAGCCCTCTCCTCCCAAATTCTGCCAGGAAAAGACAGCCATTCCCTGCTCCTTGAGCAGCTTATTCACCTTCTTGCTGAGGTCCAGTGCCCATAAATGAACTGGGAGCTCTGGATCAGCCTGGCAGGAGCAGGTCAGGCAGCGGGGGATAAGGGAAAAGACAAGGATCCATGGAAGGAAGGAAAACGTGCCCCACAACTCACCTTCTTGTAGACCAGGTCAATGGGACACCCCACGTTGATGTCCACAAAATCCACCTCGATTGTCCTGTTCAGGAGCTCTGCACACTTGGTCATGGTGTCTGGAAAGGCTCCCTCCAGCTGCCAAAGGGAGCCAAAGCTTCCATGAGCTCCAGAGGCCGTTTTTCTCCTCGGGAGTTCGGTTTTATCGAGGTGACAACACTCACCTGCACCCCAAAAATATCCTCGGTGTGGTGGCGTTTGAGCAGGGCCCACTCCGAGGACTGGCCCTGGAGCAGGTTGGTGCACACAGCCATCTCTCCACAGGTGACATCTGCTCCGAAGCGTTTGCAAATCCGTCGGAAAGGGAGGTTCCCGCACTGCCAGGGACAGCAGGGACAGGGATTGTCAGGAGATCTGCTCCGTTCCGACGGCGGCAACGGCAAGTTTTGACAAATGGACACAAGTTATCAACCTACCGTGGTCAGTGGAGCCAAGTAGAGCTTGCCTTGGATTTCCAGCTGGAAAACAAGGATGGAGGACCAACATCAGAGCTGAGGCAGCAGTGGTGATGATCATGGAATTGTAGAATCAATAGAATGGTTTCTGTTGGGAGGGACTTTAAGGATCATCCAGTGCCACCCCCTCTATCCCAGACACCTTCCTCTATCCCAGGTCGCTCCAAACCCCATCCAACCCGGCCTTGGACACTTCCAGGGATGGGGCAGCCACAGCTGCTCTGCCCAACCTGTGCCAGGGCCTCCCCACCCTCACAGGAAGGAATTTCTTCCATATATAAGATATTCCAGTTTTTATCCCTTGCTCTGGGTAAAACCCAGTGGGAAACCCAGGAGGACACTGGTTTTGTTTTAGAACCTCAAAGTATCCCCAGGGAACGTCTCACTTGCATAAAAGAAGCAGAAAATCGAACCGCTCATTTTGTTTTCACTGCTCAGCTTGGAGAGAGCTCACAGCAATTACAGATACTGAGGTGAGAGGGATTGGTTTATGGAAGCAAGGATGGAGGTGAGGAGGATGAGGGGAGGAAGACACTGCAGCACATACAACCCAGCCCAGCCTCAGCTCTCCTTGCTCTTCCATCCTCCCTGACAGCTCAGCCCCTCCCTCCAGGACCTGGAAAATCCAGGGGCTGCAGCTTCTCTTGGTTCTCACCCTTCCAAGGCCAACTCCAGACCCGTGAGCGCTCACCTTCCCGCATCCTTCCCACCATGACAGGGACATGGAGCCCGGGAGCTCTGTCCTCTGCCTGCCTCCCCCAGCTAAAGGGTCTCAAAGGTGTCTCTAAAGGGTCTCTCTTCCATCTTTCCACACACAATCCCCACCCTTGGAGCAGCACACAAGGGTCACCTGCCCTTGACCGGACTCTCACCTTCTTCTTCTCGCACGGCCGCAGCTTCGTGACGTCCTCGTCGGTCAGCGGGCCCACGGTCGGCACGGAGGGAACAACCCCATCTCCTCGGGAGCTGGGGCTCTGCAAGGCCTCTGCTTTGGGATCTTCTCCC